TTTTTCTCCACACACAACACTTCTATTTATACACAAAAATATACCCGTTGGACGCTCTTTGCTGACATCATGGCTTACATAAACACGCTCTTGATGTCATGGCTTACATAAGCACGCTCCTTGATTTTAAATATTCAGCAAATGTTAATAATTAAAAAGATAAAAGTAAGACTAATTTTTTTCTTTTTCTTTTTTGTTTTTTCAAGCATGGAGCCACCGCTTTTATAGACAATTTAATACAAAGTTCACAACTTTCAAACAAACAAATGATTTGCTTCATCTTGTTTATAGTATATATATATATGTATATATATATAACTCCATCTTTTTCTTCTTGTTTGATTATAATATGATATAATCAATGTAGTGTAGTGTGATATGATATGATATAATCAATGTAGTGTAAAAAGTTTAATAGCGCACGTAATGTATTGTATTTATATTATATGCATTATATATATAATGTTCTAATCATATATTTGCATACAGAAAAATCTCTTTAATAATATTTATGATAGATCTGAAAATATATGCCCTCTTTAAAATATTGTATATGTTTTATAGATTTTAAACTAAATATATCCTACCACTACATTTGGATATAGCACGTTTGTCAAAAGAAGACAACTCATTAATATCACATTTGTCAAGATAATACAACCAATCAATCATTTTTGTCAAAATAATATAATTAATCAATTTTAATTTTGTCAAAAAGTGAATAGTGATCAGCTTAAATTTTCAAAAAGTGAATAGTAAAGTTTTCAAAATATTTTTATTTAAATAATATTTACCAAATATATATATTTTAAAAAGATAATATTTTGTGTCAAATAAATATGTATATTAAAAAAATCCAAATTGTTACAAATAATATTTTAGATATCATCAAAATTAAATAATATGATTAATACCATCAGATAGCCATGTATCCCCCAGATGAGGAAAAGACTGCATTTATCACCCTAAAAGGGCTATACTGTTACAAGGTGATGCCTTTTGGATTAGAAAATGCAGGAGCAACTTATTAGAGATTGGTGACTAAGATGTTCAGACATCTAATTGGCAAAACCGTGGAGGTATACATAGATGACATGGTCGTGAAGACCAAGGAGCCTGAGGGTCATCTGGAAGACTTAAAGGCAGTTTTTGACATCCTTAGAATATATCGGCTCCGACTCAATGCATCAAAGTGTGCATTTGGAGTTGGGTATGGTAAGTTCTTAGGATATTTGGTTACCAGAAGGGGCATTGAGGATAGCCCGGATCAGATTAAGGCCATCCTAGAATTGAAGAGCCCAACATCGACAAAGCAACTGTAGATATTGATTGGAAGGGCTGCAGCCCTGAATAGATTCATAAGCAGAAGCTCTGACAAGTGTAAACATTTCTTCAGCTTAGTGAAGAAAACCGTAGACTTCTTATGGACAGAAGAGTGCGAAGTCGCCTTGGTCGACTTGAAAAAGTACCTGACCACAGCTCTAGTTCTCTCAAATCCAATACTTGGAGAGGATTTGTTCTTATACTTAGCAGTTTCAGAGCATGCAGTAAGTGCAGTAATAGTTAGAGAAGAAAAGGAAGAGCAAAAGGCAGTTTACTACGCGAGTAAAATCCTGGCAGATGCAGAGACCAGATACCTACCCTTGGAGAAGTTAACACTGGCTTTAGTAATGGCTTCCAAGAAGTTGAATCACTACTTTTAAGCCCCCAAAATTGTGGTGTTAACTGAACATCTTTTGAGATCCCTGTTGCAGCAGAGAGATTTAACAGGCAGAATAGCCAGATGGGCAGTAATGTTGGGCCAATATGACCTGAAATTCAGACCCAAAACAGCAATCAAATGCCAAGTCTTAGTCGACTTCGTGGCCGAGTTCACACTAGACGCCGTCGTACATCGGGCACCGTTGAGCCGAGGTATACAACGTCCAAGTGAGCAAGGAAAAGCCCAGCGGGGGACAACAGAACAAAGGGAAGGAAGAGAAACTTAGGCCCTGCAGTATTTACATCGGTGACTCCTTCTGGCTATTTGTTAATGGAAGTTCAAATCGACAAGGAACGGGGACAGGAATAGTGCTAGTATCTCCAGATGGGCAGATACTGGAACAATCCATTCGTTTGGGGTTTAAGGCCTCAAACAATGAAGCAGAGTATGAAGCACTAATAGCAGGATTAAAGCTGACAACAACCATGGAAGCTGACGAGGCAATAGTCTTCTGTGACTCCCAACTTATAGTCAACCAGGCAACAGGCGAATATGCAGCCTAAGATGAAAGAATGTCGGCCTATGTGAAGGAAGTAGGCAAACTGATGGCATTGTTCCAAAATTACCGGCTACAGCAAGTCGGCCAAGATGACAACAGCCATGCCGATACCCTGGCCAACCTGGCTAGTGCAATGAAACCAGGAGAGGCAAGAACAATAATGGTTGACTACTTGCCAGGACCAAGTAGAACCATTGAACATAGAGCATGAAACAATGTGTGTGGAGATGAGACCAAGCTGGGTGGATGCAATAATAGTATTCCTTAAAGAAGGAAAACTACCAGATGATCATAAAGAAGGGCACAAAATTAGACTGAAGTCGACAAGGTTCTGTTTGACAGCAGAATGACATCTCTAAAGAAGGTCTTTTACTGGACCCCTTCTGAGGTGTGTGCATCCTGCACAAGTTGAAGACTTTCTATATGAGATACATGAAGGAGTATGTGGAAACCACGCTGGGGGTATGTCACTTGCTCATAGGGCCATTACTCAAAGGTACTGGTGGCCCTACATGCAGAAAGATGCTGAAGCCTATGTCAAGAAGTGTGAGAAGTGCCAGAGGTTTGTACCATTGATACACCAACCAGCAGCAGACTTGAACCCGGTGTCCAGCCATTGGTCATTTGGCCAATGGGGCATAGATCTTGTTGAGCAATTACCTCAAGCAACTGGACAAAAGAAGTACCTGCTGGTGGCAACAGATTACTTCACCAAGTGGGTAGAAGCTGAACCCTTTGTAAAAATTCAGAACGCCGATGTGAAGAACTTCATATGGAAGAACATCATTACCAGGTTTGGGATCCCAAGGGCAATAATAGCAGACAATGGTACACAGTTCAATAGTAAGCTAATCAAGAACTTCTATGCAAATTACAAGATCAAGAATCACTATTCTACCCCAAGTTTTCCTCAAAGCAATGGACAAACAGAAGCATCCAAGAAAGTCATCTTGGATGGGATTAAGAAGAGGCTGCAAGCAGCAAAAGGAAAATGGGTGAATGAGTTGCCCAGTGTACTCTGGGCATATCGGAGTACGTCAAGAAGATCATCTGGGGAATCCCCATTTGCCATGGCTAATGGCACAAAGGCAGTAATTCCACTGTAGGTCGGCATCCTAGGGATTAGAACCCGGGGAGTGGAGAATGAGACTAATGATGCATTTTTAGCTCATCCTGGCTCGAGATCTGGATCTGCTAGAAAAAAGAAGGGAAAAAACAGCAATTCAGTTGGGGGCATACTAGCAGCAGCTTGCTAGGGCTTATAATAAGAAGGTCAACCCATGAGAGTTCCAAGTTGGTGACCTCGTCCTGAGAAAGGTCGTCGGCAATAAGAAGGATCCCAGAGAGGGCAAGCTTAGCCCGAATTGGGAGGGACCCTATAGAATCATCTTGGTCTTAGGTAATGAGGCATATCGGCTTGAAGACAGTGAAGGCAAGGAGTTGCCAAGACCCTGGAATACTTGCAATCTGAAGTTTTTCTATCACTAGATTTTCTTATTTTTTAAAGTTTTCTTTTGTTTTGTTATTAGCCGAAGTATTAATAAAGTTTTAGCTTGATTTTTAAACTTGTGTATTGTGACTAACCAGATACTTGACGATGTTTCTAAGTGAAACATGACGAATAACTTAGACTTATTATATGGCAGAGTTCCTACTTACATATAATATAGTTGAACTAAGTTGGCGATGTTTCTGATTGAAACATGACGAATAACTTAGACTTATTATATGGCAGAGTTCCTACTTGCATATAATAAAGTTGAACTAAGTTGGCGATGTTTCTGATTGAAACATGACGAACAACTTAGACTTATTATAAGGCAGAGTTCATACTTGAATATAATAGAGTTGAACTAAGTTGGCGATATTTTTGATTGAAACATGACGAATAACTTAGACTTGTTATATGGCAGAGTTCCTACTTGCATATAATAGAGTTAAACTAAGTTGGCGATGTTTCTAATTGAAACATGAAAAATAACTTAGACTTATTATATGGCAGAGTTCCTACTTGCATATAATAGAGTTGAACTAAGTTGAATCAACTTGAACTTGCCATATCGGCAGAGTCAGACACAGATTGGAACTAGGTGCATATCAGTCAGATTAACAAAGAGACCAAGGTTGGTAACCTTAGCCAGCCTTTGTTGGAATTTGACCTCGGCGAAAGGGTCTAAGCCACATGCTTACTGAGAACCCAAGTGGAACTTAGGTTCATGTTAGAGGGCAGAGGGCTGGAATGATTTCTTGGAAGTTGGAATTTACAAGCTAAAGTTGGCTTAACACTTGTTGAAATTTTAAAAAAAATTTACAAGTTGATGTTAAGCTAAGGTTATGTTAAAAGAAGTTGGTTTAACACTTGTTGAAATTTTAGGAAAAGTTTACAAGTTGAAGTTAATCCAAGGTTATAATAAATATTTTCAAGTGTTAGGTCAAAACCGAGGTAAACTGTTAGTGGGTATAGTTGAAGTATTCCACAACGAGGAGATTACACAGTTAAGGTACATTGAAGATATGTAAATCATTCTAAGTATAGAGCCATACAAGACAGTAAAAGAAGACAAACATATAATCACATTGAAAGAAGAAAGTTATACTTGCATTCAAATAAGGAAGTTCAAATACAAGAAGGCACTTTGGCCTGATATTGGAGATTACTTGTTCAGAATAGACAAAGGCACATCGGCCAAATAAAAGCTTACATAAACAAAGTACAAAGAAAAAAGATCATAAACGAAACTACTCAACGTTGGTAGCGGCCTGTGTCTTGTCCCCAGAAGATAGTTGTGAAGATTTCTCGGCAACCTTCTCAGCCTCGAGCTCGACGTCAATCTCCTGTAGAGTTTGATCGATACTCCTCTCGGTGATTGGCACCTCGGAAGTTGTCTTCTGGGAGGAGGCACCTTTCGAGACTTCATCTTCATCCTGAGTCAAGTCCAAGACTTGCTCATTCAGAGTTGGAGAGTTAGCCCCAACAGCTTCTACCGTTTTCTCGACCTCAGTCTCCTCCTCAGACTCAGCCTCTGATTGGCTTGGAGTTGGGGGGAATGGCAAGATGAGGTTGCCGGCATCTTTAAGTAGAGAGTCCTCAGGGACAGCCAACGCCTTCAGAGCAGCCATCCAACTAAGGGTATAGCCCTTGTTGCATGCATGTCTGACTTGTTTCTTGTAGTTTTTTTTTTACGTTGGCTGCTCCCTCGGCGTACGCTTTCTCATCAGCCGCTTTAATCTCGGCCTCTTTTGTGACCAGGGCATCTTGAAGCTCTTTTTGGGCCTCGACCATCTTTGCCTCGGCCTCTTTCTTTTCGGCCGCAAGGACTTTGGCAATGGCCTCTGCAGCGTCAGCCTTTTCCTCGGCCTCGTCCTGAGCCTTCTTGGCTGCGTCGGCCTGATCAGTCAAGGTCTTCATCTTTGCCTCGGCCTTGCTGATGATCTTCTGCAAGCCAACAGCCTCCTTGGTTTTATTCGCCAACTCCTTCTTAATGTTGAAGACTTGCATTGCGAAGGAGTGGCCATGCTGGATCGCCTAGCAGAAATGGACAAGACAAAAAGTTAGAAAATTTTTCTAAGTACAGAAAAATAGAGAATGTAAAGCACCAAGTTTTAGGGGCATACTTGCACGGAGTGCTGCAACATTAGACCAAAGTTCTCATACTCGCTCATCTCGATATTTCGATTGAGATCTTAGGAGAGAAGCAGCGTGGTAGAGAGGGCAACGCCGACTTCAATATCATCGGCACTGTCGCTAGCTTTAACCGGCTTGTCCTCGATTGTAATGGGGAGAGCCCAGGGGGCATTAGATTTCATAGAACCCGAGGTTGTTGCCGATTCAGACCTCGGTCTCTTTGACCTGGATGATTCGGAGGGTACGGCCTCGGCGGGCCTCTTTTCGGCGGCGAAAGCACTTTTTTCTGCCTCAGCTATTTTGGAGATCAGCAAGGTGTCCTCAGTGTCGACCTGAGTCACCGTTGCCTTGGGTTGGGCTTTTTTCAGCCTTTTTGGTTTCGGCTTTGGTTGAGGCTGGGACAGTGCTGCTTGTGCGTTGACAATATTAGGGATATCGGCCAGAAGATGGTCTACAATCGCTTTCTTGAGACCCATCTCGACAGCGATTGTAGTTCGGCGTTGGCGTTTGTGTTGAGATGGGGGGATCATAGGTGGGGCCAAAGTTGATGGTTGCTCAGCTAGATCGGATGTTGATCCCTGATTTGGCCGAGGTGATGAAGTTGCTGGTGGAGTTGTGGCTGAGGAAGGAGACTTGTTTTTCTTCTTCGGGACGTCGGGAAGAACCAACTTGTAAGTCGGGATGTAGTTTAGCAACAAAGGAGCTCTCCCCCTCTGAAGCGGCAGATCCAACAACTTCTTCAAGTGCTTGCTAGGGAAAAAGGACTTACGGAAGTCTTTTAGTGGTTGTGGAAGAGCTGCAAGAAAAACAGACGTTAGACCATATAGAAAGAACAAAGTATTAAAGACTTGAAAAAAATAAGTGTAACACTTGGCTCTTACCATTATCCTCTATGAAAATTGTTCGGCTAAGAGGGTAGAGGTGAAGGTCCTCATCTGGAGCGAACTCCTAGTTGCCCGAGACAATGAAGTAATCGTCCCCGACTCCCTTGTTGGAGTCTGGGAGGTCGGCAACAAGTTTGTATTCTGTGGACCTCAGTTTGAGGTAGAAGATGTAGCCTTTTTCTAACTTAAGGCCACACATGGTGTAGCAGTATTGGATGTCGGCTAAAGTTACCCTAGCATTTTCTCGGCTAGCTAAGGCTATTATACCATTGATGACTCTATAAGAGTTAATGGCTAATTGCATTGGGTTGAATTTATAATAGTGAAGGACTTCTCGGAAAAGGATCTCTAATGGAAACCTAAGTCCACACTCTATGAAAGCTACAACTGGGAAGAGCATGGAGTCGACTGTGGGCATGATGGAGTCATCCTCCCCCTCCAACCTCATATGGACGTTGGCCGGGATGGAAAACTCCTGCATGAAATACTCTAACTTAGTCGGGGTGTCTACCCTAAACCTACACATACCCATGACGTCGGCTTGGGGGGAAGGTATTGGATTTTAGAAGGAAATGTTTTGTGAAGGTTTGAGGGACCTCGGCAAAACCTAGACGAGTGATGGGTTGAGAATTTTTGAGGATCTAAGTAAAGTTTGTTTTAGTTTTTTCCTAAAGAATCGTGAGTTCTACAAACAAATCCCAAACCTAAGTCTAGGCAAATAAAGATTGAAGGCAAGAATCTGAAAAAGACACAGAAAATAGAAACAAAGAATAATGATTTAGAATCAAGAGTAGTGATAAAATTTGTGCAGGTGTGTAAGACCAAGAACAGTGGAAAAAATCAACAAATATGTAAGCAGTGTGTAAATATTCAAGAATGGACTGGGCAGAAACAGAATCATGAAGCAGACATGCTCAATATATGGTGGAAATCGAGATACAAATTAAACGACCAAAGACATGAGCAAGTTCGCAAAAGCAGCAGAGTTCTTTGAAGTACAATAAGAAATTGAAACGAAGGGGACAAAAATAACTCACCGAAGAGAATGAAGCCGGTGTGAGGTACGCTGGAGTCAGATGATGGAAGTAATCGGAGAAAGGCAGCAAAAGTTACGCCGGAGGAGCAGAACACAGTGATTGCAGAGCTTGAAAGCTTGAAACAATGACGGATTTGGGAGAGTAGAGAGAGAGAGTTAGCATGAAGATGAGGATGCAAAAGTGAAAAGACGAAAAGAGAGAAATGGTTTTGATCAAAATCGCGAAATGGCGGCAAAATTGCAATCAATGTGCCTAGGGCGATGTGCTTGTCAAATGGCGCACACAGACGCGAGGCGACCTAAAGGCGCGTGTCAGGTACGGTCTAGTGGGGAAAAGACGCGTGATAGAAACGGTTGAAATATTGTGCGTGACAACTCATACGCGTAATGAAACTCTTGGAATTCTTGATTTAATGAAGCAAATACCTTGACTAAAGGGGCGATCTCGGCTCAGTGAACTTAAACAAACTTGGTTATTGGTTCTAAAGCGTTGATGCGAACACACTGAAGTGTTTATCATATGGAAGCCGACGTGTGGCAACCTCGGTAATGAAGGATAAAACGAGCTTAGCCGGCGTGCTAAATGGAAGAAATGATATAGGTTCCATCACCTCAGGATGCCAAGGTAATAGAACCTAGGGGGCAGTTGTGGGGACATAATTTTTGAATGACAACATGCGGCCGAGGTGGCACCGAAGTGTCAGCCGAGGTGCCACGTGTCCTGGCCATGCCGCCGAGGTAATCTCGCCTAGGCCGAGGTTATCTACGAGAATACCAGAATCCGGGATAAGCGGATAAGGGACAAGAGTCCTAGATTGGGGAAGACTTTAGTCTGGATAAAGATAAGACTCTTAGAGAGTTTATCCCAATCTAACTGGGAGTCCAAGACTGACATTGAGACAGAATCCATTGGAGCTAGGCTTCTAATAGGATTAGGTTTGTGTTGGTTATAAAAGAGAGGCACCCCCATGGGTCTAAGGTACGCTTTTTATATTCTGAATAATGAGTTAAGTACTTTTGCTATCTTTGAGAGATAACTGACTTAATCGTCGGAGTGCCACCGAGGGGACGAACCACCGCCATAATCTCTTCTTTTTGTAACAGGTCGTTCGGGCTTAATCTATTCTTCCACTGTTCTCCAGCTGAATATTAGTTTGGAAGTGTGGTCAGAAATCAACTCACACAATAACTATATTTTATTCATATTTCACAAATCTTTTCATTTTCATTTTCATTTTTCAAATCTATATCCAAATATAATTTTCGGTTTATTGTTAATGTTGAAAAAGTATGTAAAAAATATATAAAAGTGTATCGAAATATGTAAAAGTGTTTTGAAATATATAAATAATATATTAAAATTAGAGGAGTAACTTGGGTGGACTCAACCCGAGCAACCTGTGTCCATCCCCGATTTTTTTAGGACTTGGATAAGATATTTTTAAATTTGGTACATGCTTGTATAAAAATTTAGAAGTCCGAATTAAATTTAGACGGGCTTAGGCAAAGATATCAAATAATCCGAACAACCTAAAACCTGAATTATACATGTATAGATATATAAAAATATTAAATATATATATATATATATATAAATTATTAACTATTACATGATATTAATGTAATTTAGATTTAAATCATACTGAATATATATTATATATACAAGTAACACAAAGGTTTACCTTTTTATTCTTAGTCATCAATTGCAAAGATTACTATAGTGTCATCTCTCTTACATTATATAAATTATTTATTTTGATATTATTAATGATTTTCTGAAGAAAAAAATGTAAATAAAGTCTAATTTTAATAATTTCGCCGCAAAAAAAAAATGAAATTCATTTACAATTTGTGCAATTCAGATTTAACTCGAGTTGGACTTAGGCAGACAACCTCGGGTTACAATTCGAGTTTGGGCGGCCCTGGGCAGGTCTCAACACAACTTGGGTTGAGTTTGGACAACATTTGACTTTGAATTTTTAATCTCGTTCCAAATAAGGACAATTGAACACACCGTTACTCCATTTTAAGGGCAAAGTCATCAATTTGATGAAATATAAACTAATTTGACAAAATTAAATGTCAAAAAATTATTTTTGAATTTTTAAAAATTATTTCTACTCACCAAAGATAAAATCATGAGTAAATTACATTGACACTTCCTGAGGTTTATGTTTATTACAGTTCTCCCCCCTTACCTTTTGGAAATTACATCCCCCTCCCAGAGGTTAAAAGTTTTATTACAGATTGCTCCATCCAGCAATTTAATTTTTTGAAATACGAATTTTGCTCTCACTAGCTAAATTACATTGACACCCCTCACATTTTAGAAACTACAATCCCCTCCCTAAGGTTTAAAGTTGCATTACCAATTGCCCCCTCGGTTAGTATTAGTTGAAAAAAAATTCATTAAAGAAAAAATTAATTGGAAAAAAAATTATTTGAAATTATTTTTAGGAATTATTTTTTATATTTTATTTCTTAACCAAATTAATTTTTAATTTTTTAAAAAAAAATTCTAAAAATTAAACCATACATAGCCTAAGAATTTTTTTGATAAGTCATTTCTTACGTTGATAACTTATTTAATTATTTGTTAATTTTCCGACATTTTTACAATCTGAGGCCTGTTTGGTAACCATTTCATTTTCAATTTTTAATTTATATATACAAAAATTAAAAAACCTGTCATAAAAATTTGTTTGATAATTTTTTTTGTTTATAAATGGTTGTCTCAGTTTGTAAATTTGAGAAAAAAAACATAAATTCAAAAAATGAGTTTACGTTGATTTTTAAGTAGAAATTTAAAAATTTGACTAATAAATTTTTTTTTCAAATAATTTTTTTTCCAATTAATTTTTTTTTTCAATGAAATATTTTTTCAACTAATATACTAACCGAGGGGGCAATTGGTAATACTACTTCAAACCTTGGGGAGGGGATTGTAATTTCTAAAATGTGAGGGGTGACAATGTAATTTACCCAGTGAGGGCAAAATTGGTATTAAAAAAATTAAATTGCTGGAGGAAGCAATCTGCAATGAAACTTTAAATCTCAGGGAGAGGAATGTAATTTCTAAAAGGTGAGGGGGGAACTATAATAAACATAAACCTTAGGG